GCAGAATCACAACAATTTTGTGGCACAACAGTCTTTCCGTGAATAATGCCAATTTGTCAAAAACAAAAAGTAGAAAAACATTTCTTATTTGTCAAAACATATTGGATTTAAGTGAGTTGAAGCCTACTAGTTTTAAGCTATTTTGTCAAAATAAATACACAATATTCTGAAGTTATCAAAATTATTTATTTCACACAATTGCTTTTTTTTCCCCTATTACTCATCTGAGAGTACTTTTTCTTTATTCTAATATTTTGGATTGTCCTATATAAGCAATTACTTTAGATTTTTTTTTTTTTTTTTAGGAAGCCCTTTCCTCCATCATTAGAATATTAAAATTGCCAAAACTTTTCCAGATTAGAGAAACTATATCTAGCAGTCAGAGTCACTGGAAGGTAACCTAGGGAATCAGAAAGACATATTGCTACTGACAGTCTGGTTTTCTGAAACTCGTATGTGAAACTTTCATTAATGATGTTCATTGTTCTATCTATGTTGTATCAATGTTATTAAAACATCTTTAATGCTTTAACGATGTAAGGAAAATTCCACTACATGCTATGTCCACTGACATAGGGCAGATTGCTTCAGTGCAATGTAGGATTTCAAAAGATAACTACCAGCCAGTTCAGCTGATATTCAGATGTGAAATAAAGTCAAGGCATTCTAAAACAGAGTCAAATTAATTTAGGGTCAAAGTGAACAACAGCTCAATCTCATTTGCATTATGTTTTGTTTGATTATTTCCTCCTTTATGCATCTCATAAGTGAAGGGCAGATTTTTCAATTCTATTGCTTTCAGACGACTAATGCTAAAATTTTGCTTTTATGTATTTATCTTTACTTATTGTAGGGTTGTGGGTTGCTTTTTTTTTTTTACATATTATATGCATTGCTGAAATTATTAAACCACACTACTATATTAAAAACTACAAAAAAAAATATGGGTAATACAGTGAAAAGTCTGAATCATATCTGACTGAACAGAATGTACATAAGAATTAGTCCAACTTCATAATCAATATGGAGGTACTTCTTCAGGAGAGATGTCAAATCTTTTAGAGAGCAAAAAACACAGTGGATGTGCACAGTTGGATGAAGTTACAATTTAAGAAAAAATTATCATCTACTCTGTAGTACTTGAAGGTTTTGTGCAGGGCAGGAAAATGGGCTGACAGGGACCTTAGTAATAGGAATGAATGACCGTTCCCTCCTGTGAGCAAAGAACCAGGTCTCCTATTAAAAAGTTTGCTTTCTTAGTTATGTCAGTAAGAAATTATGTTAGTAAGAAATTCAAATTTAAAAACACAACACCTGTAGCTAAGGTAGCTTTTTAGGCTAACGGCCAGAGGAAAAAAAAAAATTACTTTTTTTGCAGACAGAAGCTTTGGGAAGCTGTTACAAATTATCTGGCCAAATCCATAGATGTGTATATGTGTATATATATTAAATATATATATTTATATATGTATATAAATAATATTCTTATTAAAAATGAAATATTATGTATATATTTTATATATATATATATATATAAGGTCTCTCTTTGCCAGTAGTAAAGTGTATCCTAAAGAAAAGAGGTTATGGACATACCCATCTACAGCAGCCATGCAGCAATGCCCCTGTGCCTGGGATCCACAAGACAAGTATGCGTGCACAGTGACTATTTTCCGGGTTTTCCAAAGTCCAGTCATTTCTAAGGCCAGCAAGGAGAGTTTCCAAATTTCCTTTCTCCTGCCCTCTCTCCCCTGAGCTCTGCAGGCATGAGCTGCTCTCCCTTCTCTCCCGCCCCATCTCTTCCCATTCGAAATGTCACTATCCCCATCTGCTGCCCCTGAACTCCCTGTGCTGGCAGGAACACACGGGCAGAGCGAAGCAGCTGAAATAATTCAGCATAATGTGCTACCCTGACACTTCAAAGGCAATTGCTAGCATTTTCCACAGAGAAAAATATTGTGCAAAAGGGATTAATGCTGCTATGTTTCTCTTTTGATGCCTGTAACACAGATCAGGATGCACCTCCTGCATCATCAAGTCCAACTCCTTCTTGCTGCAGGCGCCGTGTGGTTTATTTGTTCAGCATGAGTATGTGTGCTTTTTACCAGCTAAGCTAACTGGTGACTGAGGGATTGCTTATACCTTCCAGTACATCTCTGGAAACAAGATATGTGATCATAATACCTGAAATATGTGGAACTTTCTTTGTCTGACTATCTCAAATGATGTTACAATTTCAGCCAGCAAATGTATATGTTATTGTGGTCAGCAGGGCTTCTCTCATTTGAAATTATGCATGCTTTACTGTTTTTATCAAATGAAATTGCAATAACCCAGCTCGGAAAGTGTGCACTCTTACTGGAAAACACATTTTACAGGAACTGCTTCTACTGATAATTACATATTTGGCGACAGAGGGTGAGGGGGTGAAGAAAAGCTATTTTCCCATCTGCAGCAAACCCTAACAGCTACTTAAAAACAACAGTAATGAGGGAGAGAAAAAGACATATTTTTGAAGGCTTTAGATATTAGTTTCAGGTAAGTATGCCACACACAAGACCTTCCTTGATTTATTTTGGTTTGCAGATGAGGGGACTTCGCACAGCTCACTGGAACTCCTGGTAAGATACAGGTACCTCAGAACGTGTACATCTCATTGAATATTTTAGGCAAGAAATACTTAGTGAGTGGTTTATTTCACAGCATTCACACCATTCAAACTTTGGACAGAGCCAGAAAACGAAGAAGTAAAAAATGGATCAAAGTTTATTGACCCAATGTATTGAAGAAAAGGGAAACATTCAGATCAGTCTTTGCTGAGTCCAAGTAATTCGTCTCATCCTAAATAGATTACTCTTTGCTGTAGAGCCCTGAGTACAGGCTCAGGAAGATTTGGAAAGGAAAAAACTTGAGCAATGGCTGTTTTCATCTCTGGACAACAGCAGAAAAAAGGAAAGCCTTGTAACAGCTCTGTCTCAGGAACAAGACATGCAGAGCAAAGCTCTGCCTTCAGCTGTGCCCTTCACCCCACAGTATCGCAGCAATTTCAGGGTAAGCTGTTTCCATGATCTTACACCTTACAAAAACCCGTCTCCTCTCCTTGTTTGTAGGGGAACGTGTCATGGCAGCCACCAGCGCTGCAGTAAGTGGAAACCCTCAGTCATGCATCAGAGAGAGCTTGAGGCCTTTGAAAGGTCTTTGCTTTATAAAGTTGTGGCTCCTGCGCTCTGCCTCGCAATCCTATCTGCTGGCATGTGTAATCATAACCCTTCAGCTGAAGACGTACACTGCAAAAGTCTGCAATGCAAGCTACTGAATGCATATGTTTATCTGTAATACATATGTTTATCTGTAAATGTCCCTATTTAAATACAGAAATTCTATTCCTACCTTTACATATACTATAAATTTTCTGTAACATCTATAGGGCATTAAGATGTGTGTTTATGAAAAACAGAGCATGTGAATTTTCTAGATTTTCAGGAGCTGTTAGTCTCTCCCACCTATGGTACTTGCTGATTAACAAACAAAATATTTATTCTAACACCCTGAAAAATTCAAGGCAGTGAAAAACTCAGAACACTTTATCACTAAAAACTGTTTTAAGGCTTCACCTGGTAGTTGCTGGACACTGTGAAATGGGTACACAGGGACATGTTACAGTAAGACTGTTCCCTAGACCAGTAATACTATTTGAAATGAGTAAAATAGAAGAAGAAAAGTAAGTATTGGTTATCAGTCTCTCTGGCTGCTTTTTGATTGACATTTTAGATAAGAGGAAACTGATTGCAACCCTAGTAACTTGGTTCAAATGTAACTGCTGCTGTGCTGCTCCATCATGGATTCTCCTGGAATGGTCTGTAAACTGAGCACAAACACATATGCTTTGACATTGCCACTTGGATGTAATCATGGATTCTCATCTCCAGCCATGACACAGTTCTACTTCTTATATTTTTATTGACTCTTGATGATTTTGTTTTAGATTGCCAAACTAGCTATACTGAAACCAAGTTTTAAATGGAGTATCTACATATTTGGGCGTGATTTCTTTCCACTGAGTTTTCTGACACTCAATTTGAAAAACATCTCTACATGTAAAGTGAGATTAAAATCTTCACTTCTGCTAATTTTCATGCTTTGGTATTTAGCAGCCTAAAAGACAGTAGGTTTGTTCTGTTGTTTTTTTCATTTTTTTCCGGTATTTGGAAGCAATCTGCTAGACACAGCATGACCTAGCAGTCAGTGCAACATGAAACTTCAACACCAGCCTGTTCATTAGGGAAAACTGTCTGAACCCACTAAGCAACCTTTGGCTGGGGGCTGAGGGTGAAAACAGGACATGGCATCCTAACCTCGTGAGGAGGGTACCAGTCTCTGGGCAGGAAGCATTTGTACACTGCACCAGTCAGCTGTCTTTCATCATACAGTAGCACCAAAGCACCATGAAGCGTGAAAGAATGCCAACCCTCTTCCTAGAGGACCAAATCTTATACTGCATCAGAATCTTACCGAAGGTCTCGGGTGTGGAGGCACAGCAGAGAGGGAAGGTGGGTACTGAATGTCAGGCTGCCCAAGAGGCAGAAGTCCCAGCAAAAGCTCTAGACATGCTTTTGGTAACTGAGGAACAAATCAACCTGTTGGGCAACGACCATCCTCCTGCTTCTGAAGGAGACAGCTTGTGTAGCCTCTGCCCCTCGGACCCTGAGCAAGAGCTAAAAACATGCTATGAGGTCGCAGTAACAGCTCTGGATGGCTAAATTCAGCCATACTGTATCAGTGTAACTGGAAACAAGTTCCACTTTGGATGTTACCCACATCAGCTTGTACCACAGAACCAATTGTTACTCCTCTGGTTTAGCTCGATTCAAACAGAACAAAACATTAGGAAGAGTCTAAAGATAATCAGAAAATTACAGGAGAATAAAAAAACCTTTCTCAAATTGATTCTAAAAACAAGTTTTATTGTTAAAATAAAAGAAAAAAAAGAATCCACAACAGGGTTCCCAGATTCAATGGCAGTTTTATTTGAAATTGAGTACTGGCGAACTTCTGATTCTTGCACTTCAAAACTTCTTGTGGTAGTTTAGTGCAGTCTGAAGGACTTTGGTTTGTCATAACTCAAGGCACAGAACCAAAATAATGTCCTCAGCCTGACATCCAGTCAGGGTTAGTCTGTGGATTAATCAGGATGCCTGATTCCCAGAGATTTTGTGCACATTGGCTGAGCATCTGATTACAGCAGTGCTATAAATGGATAAGACGATCCATCATGTAGCTTTCCAGACAGTACATGATGTATTCTACCCCAGGAAAATTAGTGTGCTTATTATTTCACAGCTCGGATTCCAGTTGCTTGTAGAAGTGACCTCTGTATTCTGGAATTATTTGAAACGTTTGTCACATTCAGAAAGTGTCTTTTTTTACTATCATGGTGAAATTCAAGCAGATGACCATATTATTGTCAGAATCATCAGAGAATCCTTGTAAAAGAATGTTATAATTGCCCTAAACCAGGCAAAAAAAAAGAAAAAGAATATTAGTGCATAGTGCTGCCTGCTCTTGTCTAAGTAGCTGCTTGGAATGGTTCTGGTGATTACTGTTAGGACTGATAAAAGAAAGATTCCCATCAGAGACTGTTATCATAGGTATATTTTGATATATGCGTGCATAAAAAAATAGGGCTCAACTTTTTTTCATGAGCAGGGTACTAAGGAACAGCAGTAGGCTGTGGTCCAGTTTGCGTTTCCCAGGGTCCTCTCTCAAAAGAGAGTCCTGTGTTCCTAAGGGCACCTGTTCCACCTTCCAGAGCCATTCTCTTGAGCAACATTTCTGACTCCACAAATGGGAATTAACTGAGTTGATACACCAGGCTGTATTCTGCATCAATGGGCTTTTTTGTTCCCACTGTGAGGCAGGAACCTTATTAGACTTTATAACCTACGTCTAGCAAGGGCTCAGTCCTATCATCACTTCCATTTTTCTGCTGACTTTCTGACACCTGCTTGCTCCAATACCTATATGTAGACCATAGGTAGTTGTAATAACAGCCTCTGTATTTTACAGGCAGTCCTAGGGAAAGCCTCCAGGCTGAATACCACACAGTTTCTGAGCAATCTTGTAACAGAATTTGTTGTATTGGACAGTCCATCTTTTTTGTTTTCAGCTATAATCACATACTGGATATTTAACTACTATTCAGCCTCAGTACTGTTTATCAAAATCATCAATTTATAGTGAATGTATGATGTGAATACATCAAATGTCTGCTTGATGAAAGCTAAAGCAACCTCATACTACTATAGGTGGCAAAAAGTTTGTCCTGAGTTTGGACATGATGCAAGATTGGGATGAAGTACACTAGGGAGAGGAGAGTGGAAAGAAGGACCCATGTGTGAAGAGAGTCATTCTTCAGTCCCTAATCAATTATAGCCAGCACTTGTCCTAGTGTGAGGTCTCAAGCTGCCTACTTAAATCATGCTGCCAGTGCCCAGCTGACCTCCCTGCATGGAGCATCTGCTCCCTGACTAGTGGGATACTGCTTGCCTGAAACCTTAGCCATAAGCCCAGCTCTAAGCAATACCAGTCCTCACATCAGCTCAGCATTCCTCCCAGACCCACCGCTTCGCTCATCCACATCCAGCAGTGTGATCCCTAAAGCAGCATCACCCCAGGTTTAGCTGCTGTCAGACTACCCATCTTCATACTCTCATACAGACTTTTGTAAGCACCAGGACAGAAGACAGCTTGGTGGCCCTACCGAACCCAGGTGTTACCCTACCTTCTTTGACGTGTGTCACCTTCCTCTTCTGGTACGGCAAACTGGCTACGAGCACTTGGGAGCCAAAGGGTTCTTGGGACTAATCTAAAGACTAGGAGGCTTCCAAGAGTTTCTAGTTTAGAAGCAAAGGCTATGATTAGGGTTAGTTCCTGGTCTGGTAGAGTCCCATTGGGAAGTGTCAGGTCTGCCATAAGCACCTCATCCATAGGAGGCCTGCTTATGGCAGAGGACGTTCTTGTCTACTACCAGCTCTGGAGCTAGAAGAGACGCTGGGCTGGATGGAGTTCAACACTGTTAGAGGCCCATGAGCTTTGAGTTAAAGGGAGGCTGGAGATTTTATACCAGTAGGATCTAGTGACATTTGTGGGGATTAATCGGGATGATATGGGTCTTGGGAAGGCTCAGGCAGCTAATGAGGCAAGTGTTGAGTGAGAGCAGGCTTATGTGAGGACCAGTGCTGCTCCTGGTTTAACACTGGAGCAGTGCTTTCACTTTTGGATATTGTTATCCCTCTCCAAATTTTTTAAAAGGGTTTCAGGGAGTAACAGACCAGCATGTGAAGAGAATGTAAAATAAAGAATGAAATGGGCAGAAAGAATATGGATGGATTTACTCAAACAGGTAAAAGGAAATGCAGTAATTTAGAAAAAAAAAAAAAAAAAAAAAAAAAAAAAGGAATTAGTAATGTGATATTAAAGAATATCTTTGGTCTTTTCTTTTATAAAATAAAGGAGGAATAATAGAAGAATAATAACCTGAGGGCATCTAGCATTTCAGAGATGACATCATTCTGGAATCATCACTTCAAGCATGAGAAAATTTTCTGACATTTCCTTTTGCTGTTTTCTACAGTTTAATTGAACATATCTTTTCAGAAAATATATGTATGTAAGTATGTGATTTTACTATTGTTATTTCTTTATACAAAATGCTGAAAAGTACCTTTGGAAACTGTATTCTTGAACCTTTAATGTCAAATGCTGTTGCAAATGTTTCTGTAAAACAGAGATAATTATAATATAAATGGATACTTAATCATAAAGCCATCAATCAAGCTTCCTAAGTAACTTCAAAGCAATATGGCATATCTCTCAGCAGCAGTACCAATGCCATTTACTCTTTCAGTGATAAAGCCCTCACCTGTTCCTTCTCCCAGAGCTCTGCCTATATGTCTAAATCACATTAGAAAATGGAAAGTAACCACAGTGCTCCTGCAACATCTCCTACGGACCCATCCTACTGCAATAACTCCAATAATTTAACTTGTAATAGTAATTCAGATGAATGATAACTGAAGAGAACTGATATTAATTTTTTTAAAGAAAGGAAAACATGGATTGCATATTTTGACCTCCTTACAGGTCTTCTTGGGCTTTAGTCTGATATCCTGCCTGAATTCTCTGGATCTGAGTTTGTGTCATATTAACATTGGTTAGCCTATACAACAGGACTGACTCTTCTCTAATAAAAAAATCATTATACACTGGTGTAGAGAATCTTTTTAAAAACCCATCCAGACACTTATCTCCTATGCCCCTAGCTCATCTCAAGTTTTCTTTACAGTCCAGGCAAATGTAGCCTTTCCATGTCACTTTAGAGATGTTAACAAAACTGTACATAATGAGATTAAGGATATTAGCAATCCTAATTTATAGAGATGGAGACTGCAGTACAAGGATTTTAAAGCACAGAATTTGGAAATTCTCTGTTTTAGTGAGGTTCTGGCGCTGGAGAACTGCCTGCTCTGAAGTCTGATGCCTGCCAAGCAAGGTGAATCTCTCTAGATTGTGGAGAGAAAAATCTGTCTGCATGGGTTGATCAGTTAGTCTTTTAAAAAATCTGACTAATGGTGAAGAAGGGCTGGCAGGATATGGTCCTGTTCTGGAGGGAACCTGCCAGGCAAGGGAAAGGCACCGTATATTTTCCACACCTACCTCCTTTCAGCGTTCCACACACTGAGTATTCGTCGTCAGCTCCACTGCAAAGGACTTCCTTCCATTGCAACGCATTGGCACCTTCATACCAGACTTTGAAGACAATCTTCAAAAAGGTGATGTCGCTTCCTAGTTAAGACATTGCATGTAAGAAAATGGTAGCTGGTGGGGAGGAAAAACATATGCAGACACACTATTGAGATAAAAACTAGTTTTCTCTGAAATACAGTATTTTTTAAAGACTCCTCTCAAAACTGACAAAAATACATATCTTGAAAACTGCTACCTCTAAAAAAACAAAAAGGTGATTTTCAACAAAAAAACACAGTCTTAAAAAATATTTGAGTGAACAATTTCAAAATCTGTTTTAATTTATTAGGCAAGGATAACAGAGTTCACTCAGCTCCATAGCTAACCCAAATAAATACACAGATGAGGACTCTGTAGTTTTAAGAAACATTGCAAACTGTTCTGAATGCTGGTAGCCATCATAAAGATGTTTCTAGGGAAGAAAACAGCTCAGCTCCAGCGTTTTTACTCGGAAGGTGAAGCTTATGATACAGCCATATCATAAGTAATTCACCTTGTCAGCTTAAAGTGGGTTAAAGATTAAATTTGGGTTTGCATACTCAGTCTAATACCATTTCCAGCTTCTGGAACATGCATATTCTTAGAAGTCCTGCCATACTTGGACAGCTTAATAATATTACATCTCCTTAAAAAGTCTTGGATCTTCTTCAGTCCAGAAGAGCTTGCACGCTGCAAATCTTTTCTGCTTCTTCCAGACAAATGCACGTGCACCTAAACCATCTCAGATTTGCGTGTACAGTGCCAGTTAGGGTGCAGAGCTACTGCAGCAGTACTCCGACAAGGAAAACTCAAACATGCTTATTTCCACAAATCATCATTTCTGTCCATCACTATAGTTTACCTATTCCATTTTTAATCACAGGAACTGATCTCTTAAATCATTTGGCATTTAGGATGATGTGTCAGCTTTTTCTTTGTATTAATTTTTTTTTTTCTTGCATTTGCAGAATATAATTGTCTAGTCAAGTGGGACTCACTTGGAATCCAGGTAAGAGCAGCCTTCCAGACAGATTTGTTCATGACGCTGCAAGGTGTCAGATTAAACATGAAAGCATGAGCTGTAGAATCTACAGGAAAAATATATTTCATATTGGTAGTGTGAATAGGCTTCTCTAGGAAAATAATAAAAATATACATATATACATAGTCACAATAAACACATATAGATTTAAAAATGTATTTAATATAAGGTATATAGCAGAAGATTGTCTAATATAAATATTCATAGTAACCACTAACTATGTTTAGTTGGTTTTTTTTTTTTTTTTTTCTATGCTTGTAGGGCCAAAAAAATTGTATTTCTTTAAGTAGCAAGAAAAGTCAATCATTTGGTTGATGATATTTTACACACAAAACTGAGGGGCAAAAGTACCTTTATTTCTTTTTTAAAGCTACACAAACTTTTTTAATTAGCATTAAGCCAGCATTGTTCTCTGCTGAAAATATCCCTACTTATGCTAACCATGGAATCTATAACAAGTTTCTGACAACAGCTAAAAATGTTAACACACCACTGTATTTTCCAGGATAATGTAAATAAGCCTTTTGAGTAGATTTGCTTTGTGAATGACCCACCTACCACTGTACAATGCACAGTGTCAGATGCAGTGTAATAAAGTATCATACAACTTGTAACTAATCAAATTTAAAGCCCATTAGCTGATATTTTAATTAACTAGCTTCTCCTCTCAGATTTTCACCATGCATGGGTAATTATAACAGCAAAAAGGGCAAAGAAAACTCACTGTGGTCTCAAAGGTTTGGTTTGCAAGCTTAAGTAACACCACTTTTACCCTTGTTAAACTTTTAACGTATTAATGTAAAGCAACATACCCAAAATAAACATGCCCTCCTGTGCCTCAGTTTATATAGCTATTTTACAGGTGATACACGCTAGTAACACACACAGAATTTCAAAAGACATGGGCCTTTCCTTGTGAAATATCTCCTTAAAAGCTCAGCTTCTGGCCAATGGGTCCGCATGGGCTCACTGAGCCTGTTCAACATGGACGTGAGGGAGGTGCCAAGTTCTTGCAGAACTGACCAAAAAACTTAGTGAACTACATAGATCCAGTGGCCTACAACGCAGGCACAGCAAGAAGAGACATTATGTTGTCCCAGAGCCTGACTGATCCTTCAGCCTGGCAGAATATCACATTCCCCTTTTTTTTTTTTTCCATATACTTAAAGCTTTTCATTGTAATATATCAATTAAATCAATGTGGATATTGTACACAATACAATACTTGCAAGCAAATTTTAAACCTTTATCTTCTAATATTTTCTGAATCAAAATATGCCTGGTTTACTTGGGCGTAAACTCCTCTCTTAGCTGCTGCAACCAGAATTGTGGCAATATTTATGCCTATGCAGAATAATTTTTATAACACAGTAATAAATAACAGAAATATACTCCAGCTGAATTTTTTATTTTTATTTTTCTGTATTAATCAAACAAACAAATTTGAAAGAAAGTTCACATTTCCTCAGCCTACAGTAATTATTGTGCAAACACTAGTAAGAAAAGAATAAGCTGTTTTTCACTTACCACAAAAAATATATGACATTTCTAGATCTGACGATGTACAAAGAAGTTCACTGACTCCAGGGGTGAATAAAATGAAAAAAAACACTCCAAACATAATTATTGATTTTGCTCAGTATTTGATGGAATAAAACTTCCTTTTGGTGAAAGAGGAACAAAAATTCAGCACAGTCATCCTCAGTCACATGTCTTCAGGGAATATTCGGTTATTTTGTCAAATTGTCTGCAATCTTAATTAATCCTAATGCAGCACTATCGGTTATCATCACAATAAATTTTGTGAAGAAAAAGAATTTCTGCCTTTGTTGTTACATTTCCCCCAGACAACGCAGCTCAAGCCATGAGTGAAAAATGAAAGAGAAAACTGTGTGAAATGGGGAAGTAAGGAGAAGTAAAATTATGATTACCAGAAGCATGTAAAGGGCAAGTTTGGTTGACTCATCAGATATAACATTTGTTAAGACATAATTTCAAACACTCACAGAGTTTCCTGTGCATATTAAAGAAGAGAAAAATCCACAAATTATGAAAACCAAGTCCACTCTTCTATTGATATGGTATTCAATAGCTCCCACAAGTTCTCAGAATTAACTTCTTACAAAGCTCACCATGCTTTAAGAACACACCGGCACTCCCGAGGAGTGTAATTAGATGATGTATTTCCAAATGGAGAGCTGAATGCAACTGTTTGACATGTTATTGAGTAGAACCTCTGACGTCCTGCATGATGCCAGCTACCATCTTCACCACTGGATCTATCACAGTTACACTTCTTGGTGAAAGCAACTTTAAAAATCCATAAAATCAGAACTGAGAAGCCCCACGCCCGCCTCCCAGCCTCCCTCTGTGACCTTCTCCCACGCTCTCCCCCGCAGCCTCTGCTGCAGAAGCTGCCCTGCACAACTTGCCGGAGAGCAAGGAGCCCAGCCCCTGGCTGACGTGCCAGAGCAGTGCACAGGCATGGGGCCCGGCGGACACCGACCACGAGACGGTAACCAAAGCTGCCGAATTTTGGCTGAAGTGTTTCTATAAGAACACAGAGTCTACCCGTCAGAACTGAAGGTAGGGTTAGGAGCCCGGTTTTAGTCTGGGATGTTGAAAAAAGTCCAGGTTGCAGATTTTGGTACTCAAGTTTGAAACACTGAAACAAAAACTCTTACAGCACTTTTGGCGTTAGATACACCCCCTTATTTCTGTCTGTTAGTGCAATACACAAAGAATAACATATTTTGCTTGTATCTGCAGTATCAATTCTGTGGACTAAACTGGGTCACCTTTTACTGCACAAACCCAGCAATATTGCTAGTCCCAACGACAGAAACAGATACCAAAAAGTCTAGTACCTCATTCAAGAGATCACCAACTAACTGATAGGAAACACAATCACATTTTTTTTCTTAATATAACAAAATATGGAAACTTACTGAATTTATGGAAGAATGACTTACAGAATTTAATCAGATTTTTTCCTCATGAGTTACCTTCTTGATTTGTATGTATGCCTGCAGGATCCTCTTAGATCAGAAATTGTACTTTTTATGAAAAGAAAGCAGTATATACAATAGATATTTGGTTTTGTGCTAAGCAGGAAACTCAGTAAAAATTACTTACAACAAATATCACTTCATCAATTGTACTGTCTCTCCCTACTCCCCATCACAGTGTCTAAAAGCTTTTATTCTCACAAATTCGGTGAACACTAGTGTAATATATTACATATTATAAAGTAGCAAAAGATTAAGAAATTGGTTTTCAGAAGTCTGAACATGTACCACAAAAGATAATTTAATAGCAACATGCACAAAAACATGACTGTGCCCAGAAGACGGGTAGAGTTCACAGATTAGTTAAGGAAGGTGAGGATTCAATTAAAAGTACCTAAAAGTGCCAACTAATTAGATAATACATGTAATAATTCACAAAATAAGATAGAAATTTGAAAATTTTATATGGCTGGAGAATTATCTTCAGTATTTCCAAATCTTTCTACACACCACAAGACGAGCCCCACTGGTCTTACAGAGTTTAAGGCTGAAAGAAACTTCTAACATTTGGCTTTTAAGTGGAAATTCAAAATTACATAGCTGACAGATCTCCAGAGTACATACATCGCACACAGATTTTTGCTGTTGTTTAATAAGATGCTATAAAACATGCAAATCCTTTGTGATGATAGCAATAATACAGTTCTGTTTCAAAATGGACGAATTTTGATTAAAAGTAGTAAAATATGTAGTGAAATTGAAATAAATCACGAAGGCTGTAATAGTTGGAAAAAAGAAATGGAGTAATGAGACAGCCACTAAGGAGTGATGAAGCAGCCACTAAAAGAAGAGATACCTTGTGTACGCACAGTCAAAAAAAGCTTCCTTTCAGCCACAAAGCCACGGCCACTGATGTGGAACAGGTCTAACCAGTGAGAAGCCAAGCCAGGCTTCCCGCTGAGTTTTCTGCCAGTCCAATAGATTCATCAAAAGTCACAGGTCAGGCTGAAGTGGGCATGAGATGGCACTGACTGTACCTTATTGACAAACACGATTACCCAGCTGAAAGTGTGTCTGTCCCTCCACGGCCAGACTTGTACTGGCTCCGCTGCACTGCGCGTTGCGTGGCTGATGTACTCATGGGCAGACTGGAAAGAGCGCTGGAGATTTACAAGATTTTATATAAAAGCTCTTTTAACATAAATGAAGACAAGCTCTCTGCTGAACTCCATGACTTTCCAGCCCTGGTTCGAGAATAGGTGGGTTTTTTTCAGATACTTGCTGCAATAAATGATATAGATGAGGAATGAGTCCCCCCTGGTGGCTTAGACAGACAGACACATGGGGAAACCTCTCTAACTTCTCCTGATCCTTATTGCACGAGTCAAGAGTATTCCAAAGCTTTAAAAAATCAGCATGACTAGGCTTCATTTTTAAAGGATCTGGCTGGCTAATGGAAAAATGGGAAAAACAAGTTCTGCTGGTATCAGGGCTAAAATATCACTTATGACCACAGCCATTCAGTCTACAACCTTGACCACTGTATCTGGTCAAATTGTCCTTAAAACAAAATAACCTCAGTAATTTTAAAATCTTTTCAGTAAATTCAGTTTTAGGTTCTCGTGGCTTTTGATGCCCATATCGATGTCATCCGTAGAAGGGACCCCTTGTGTTGCTCACTGAAGCCTCAAACTAGTGCACTAGAGGTGTGAGGAGTCTGCTCTCTTCCGTTCAAGTCATCATGAAGGTCACTGGAGAAGAAGGTTACAAACTTCTACATATTTTATCTTCACTAAATACTCTTTCTTTATTATAATCTTTGTCTTACATACGCTGATCCAAAAGGAATGTGAAAAGGAGAGAAAGAAGTGGAAGGAGCTACACAATAGTGTTACTTCACTAGAGTTTTGTGACAGTTTACTTAATTTATTTTGAAATCCTTAGCAACTACGTTTAGTAGGGACCAACTCTCATATGCAGTTAACAGTACATAAAATAAATCCCAGTCTAGAGAATTTAGGACTTCGTACCTATGACTTTTCATTTTGTCTACACCTGAGATGCTGAGAGTAGAAGTTTAACTCCAAGCCTCCTCACCAATTTGTGGTTAAAATCCTTAACCTGATTTATGATATTTTTATCTTCTTTCTCAATACATCTAAAATGTGCTTAACTTACTTGTGATTGCTTTTCAAAATAATCACTTTGTATTTGGATTGTTGGCTGCAGATGAATACTTTGACCAGATAAGCACTTATAAGTCACTGAAATCTCCCTCAGGAAAGATTTATAATATACATTATCATAATACTCCATCACAGAAAAATTAATAACAGTATACGAGTACATCAGAGGAAAGTACTCCATTTCAAAATTTCACTCAGATGGAATTAAAAATTATGTCCTAGTTCTTGGCATGTACCAAAGCCTCACATTAATGGAAAACTCCTTTAGGATGTTAACCACATTTATTCAATAAAGAAAGAGGCAATAATAATTTATTTTTCCTTGCAGAACCTGTGACAACTTTTTAAGTTGAACTTTTTTCTCCTGGGAGGACACATGTTTATTACTTCTGATCCTGGGTTTAGGGTTGCTACTGAAGAGACTCCAATATAAAGGGGCTGTATATAAGGCATAAGGCATGTATTCAAAAAACAAAAACACACTCAGCAATCAACATGAAGAATAGAAAAATGTAACAATTCATGGATAAATCTTTCTTCTCAAATCCTCTTTGACCATATTTATAGCAAAAGTAGAAAGTCGTGTCCAGGGATACTAGAAAGTGGTGGAGGATTCAGCTCCTCAACATGCAGCCGATGAAGAGCTTGAGGGTGCCAGGGGAGTCCAACCCAAGAGCAGTGCACCAGTACATATCCAGTGGTGAGCTGGCAGCATTTGAGTAAGAAAGCAAATAGTCGTGGAAAGAAAGAAAAAGTGATGTGCATTATTCTGAATATATATTTAAATGCCGTATGCACTTTGGCTTAGTCATTTGGAATATATCACATTAAACCACTGGAGACTATTAAAGTGAAGCAAATACACACCAGGTGGTATCCTGTGGAAACAATTATGTTGGAAATAACTCTCTGCCTGCTGCCAGTAGGCTTATGGTTTATTCTTTCCAAGCCAAGTTTAGGATTAAAGCTTATAGTTACACTCTAAAGTATGCATTAAACCATTAAGGTTGTCGAAAAGAAGAGAAAGCAGAGGGTGAAGGGAGAAGAAAGGGTTGTGTCCTACCTCTGTCTGACAGAAAGCACAGCAGAGCAACACTGTCCACCCTGGCATTCCAGAAATGGAGACAGCTGGGCATGTTTTCCGGCCTTTTGCTCTTGTTCTGTTCTTCCCTGCCTAAAATAGCTGCTCTCTGTGGTCGCTTTAGCTGTGGGATAATCTTATTATAGTGGATCCAACTCCTAGCTAGCACACTTGTCCCATTTCTCAGGGGGGCTGCAGCAGGCCATGTTGTACATGGGGGCATGAAGAAATTCTTGGTATGAGCACAGAACTCCAGAGCAACCAAATTACTGCAGCTTACCAAGTTTCCACCTATTAAGTTATACTGAACAATTGTAATAATTCACATGTGTGCTCTTAATTTTATAGCACAAACAGAATTTCATGAAGTTTCCATCACCTAAATTAGGCCCTCATGATACCAAGCAAAAATATACACGTATTTTCTTCGTCTTTGCCAGTGCAATGACTCTGGTTTGTAATAAAGCGAGCTCCAGTTAAATTAGTTACCTTATAATTTTAGAGAGTGTGGCTAAGAGTGTGAAGTACTGCAGAGCTTTAAACATTTCCCTTTGAAGTATCAAAAGGGGATAATTTTGTCATCAGAATTTTTTACATTTGCAAGAGAAGTCTGGGGGTTGTGGGATAATTTAGTTTAAAAAATAACATTATAGAATTACAGAAAGCATTGTACTTTATAATTAAGAACAGATAGGGACTAATGAATAATATCATGGACAAAGCCAAAAACTTGAGAAAAAGGGAAAGGGATGCAGGCAAGAAAATAGCACATAGTCAAAGACTGAAAAGAAAAATTCTCATGTATCCTGTCTATTTTCTCTGGAAAAGAAGCAGTCATCTATGACCTGTTGTGCGAGCTTTTAAGGCTGGAAGGGGATAGGAAGCACGTGTCTAGGAAAGAGTCTTGAGCCTTTCCATAAGTTCCTGCTCTTCACACCAGATTGTGTGAAACTGGTACCAGAGGAAGATGCGAGACTGAGCTGCAAGGGACAAGTGATTGGTTGGTACTGGGAAGGCTGCAGGAGCTGGCAGCCTTCGTAGTAGGTTTAGCCTTGCAAATGAGAGAGCTTATGAATCACTCGTTTTAGAAGACTGGACTTCTACATCAGTATTTCCTTCAGAATGTCCACGCATATGAGCACATTCCCTAGGTCTTATAAATGAATTCTTTCTTCCATGTTGAAGTCAGGTCACCTAAACCCAAAGAAACATCACCAACTTCCAGGGGTGAAATGTTAGCAGGTAGTAATACTGCTACACTTAGAACTGTTTTCCACCAAACATATAAAACTGAGAAAAATAAATAGAATAAAATAGTTCACACACTAAATAGCATTATCAAGGATATGGAGCTAACATAACCAGACTTTGGGAATTACTTGATAGCAACCTGCTTATTGAAACACTCACACTACCGTGAATTCTCTTGCAGGATTAGTTAGCAGCCTGTTGTTAGGCCTGTCTTGGTTTATGTGCATTTCCTAGATTAGGACATCAATTTCAGTGTTTCCCACTTGGAAATGCACTCAGTGCACTATGGAATATCTGTATTAAGACAGATTGTTCAGAACCCAATGTAATACAGAAATGCATCTAGAAGTGGTTTTAGATTACATTTCCATTCCTTCATTTTGTTTCTAATGCGAAGAACAAACTACAGTTGTTTGAACACTAGTCTCTACTGCTCTTAACAAGTTCCTGGGATCTAAACCAGTCGCTTATGTGCAAGTATATTTGAATTCTGTGTTCAGTTTTGGGCCCCTCACTCCAAGAAAGACATCGAGGTGCTGGAGGGTGTCCAGAGAAGGGCAATGAAGCTGGTGAAGGGTCTAGAGCACAAGTCCTGTGAGGGGCGGCTGAGGGAACTGGGGTTGTTTAGCCGGGAGAAAAAGAGGCTCAGGGGAAACGTTATTGCTCTCTACAACTGCCTGAAAGGAGGCTGTAGTGAGGTGGGTGTTGGTCTCTTTTCCCAAGTAACAAGTGATAGGATGAGAGGAAATGGCCTCAAATTGCACCAGGGGAGGTTTAGATTGGATATTGGGAAAAATTTCTTCACTGAAAGGGTTGTGGGGCTGAAGAGGCTGCCCAGGGAAGTGGTTGTCACCATCCCTGGAGGCACTTAAAAGATGCAAGACACAGCGCTCAGGGACATGGTTTAGTGGCAGTGTTAGGTTAATGGTTGGACTTGATGATCTTAAAGGTCTTTTCCAAACTAAGTGATTCTATGATTCTAAGTATACACTGTAAACAAAAATTGAAAAAAGGTCAAATCTGAGAATCCTGGGATTACACACAGGACAGGCAGAGGTGGAAATCCTAACAGGGACAGGGCCAAAGCCACACCTATTTGGCAACCATAACAAGTAGTATGATTTTAAGATTTATAACTTGGTTGTTTCCCAAACTGAGTTAGCCATGTTAGCAGCAAGCAAGGTAAAAGCAGGTAGAATACTGTGCATCACTAATAAGTGTGGTCTTCCCTTTCTTTAATATAAAAGTACTGTTAAAAGAAAACTATGGAATTATCACTATTTTCAAGTTGCATATTGGAAATATAAAATACTTTTCTGAGACTACATCACAGCCAGAATCATCATCTATCTTCTAGTAGAAATCTGGATTTTTATTTTTTTTAAAATCATCTACGTGTCTGAATGCCACCTACTAGCATAACTTGCATTTCACTGACAGAAAACAAATAGAAAGAAACATTGCTTACTTTCCACACTTTATGAGAAACTCAGCCACTGGGTTGGAAACGTCTTACTATTGCTGCTTATATCCGAATTGGCCAAATCTCAAGTTTAACAGTGAAAATTTTCTGCAGTCAGAAGAAAGGCTGAGGATTTTAATATTGCTCAAGGTGTACATAAATATAATTTCAGGGCTCTTCCTTTACTTTCTCTTACGAACTGTTTCCTGTTCTCCCTGTATTTGTCATTTAAAGATGAAGTTAACTTCATCTATAAGCACAAAAAAAAAAAGAGCAAACACATTAGACATGGGAAGAATGGAAAGATTAGTTTTAATTAAGTGTAAAACATCATTTCAGTAATGACAACTAATACAACCAGGTGATCAGAATTGCTTGCTACTGGCCTTACATCTTCAACACCATTTATGGAATTGGTTTTTTTTATACCATTGTTACCTATGGAGCGATACTGGCTTAATGGGGCTAGATGAGTCTTTTAAAATGATAGCTATACCAGCACAAAATAACTGCCTCAAAAATATCTGAATGGGGTGATTTGATTTTTAATTACTCAGCAAGTACACCGAGAGCAGTTTCAACACTCAGAAAAATAACATCTAAAAACACTGTTGTTTTAATATCTAGTGTCATCCTATGACAGGAAACTGAAATAATAGTCTTGGAAAACATTTAGACTTTTAAGTAAAATTTTTCAACTAGAACTTAGGAAACATCTAGAAAGGTAGCTGTAATTATTTTCTCTTTATTTGCAGTATCAGGATGACTTAATTAGTAGCAAGCATCAGATTTACTTATTACAAAGGACACTGATAATGAACTTTCCTTTTTTATTTTTTTTTTTATTTCAGTAATTTTTAAGCCTCAGAATATTTATGCCCATCATTATTTCAAAACAAGTATGTCAGTTTACATGACAAACCTCTCCTGGGGCTAAAAATATTCAAATCCAATTTCTACATAGAGTGCAGAACTAACCAGCCTAATCACATGAAAAGATCTAATCCCCTTTTTACTTGAGCTTAAGGTGGCTTTCTTTGCAGTGCTAAAAATCAAGCAGTATGCCTTAAAGGCACAAGATCTAAACAGTACTCTACAGGAGATTCCCTTCTGCTCCCCTACCTGACATAAATGCTGACAGAATCCCATTTTAACCACTAGCTGCTAGTATTTTCTTTAAGTCGGTTCGACCACAGCACCAGTTTTCAGTGAGATATTCACAAGCACACATGCTAAGGTGCTCCCCCCTGCCCAACACGAGAGGCTTCTTGCTCTCCACCTCTGCGGACAAAAAGGTTGCTCGGAGTGGGACTCTAGCTGAAGAGCCCATTTAGTAGCTGTGAGCAGCTAGGGATTACTGGGGCGCAGCCACTCTCCCTACCTTCCCCAGAGGCCTGCAGGCCTCTAGAATGAGGCCGTAGCAGGAATGTGCAACAACACCCGTCTGCTTTATGAAGATTCCTCCTGGCTACTGATGCTCTCACAAAGGGAAGTGAAAGCCATCTCCACTCCCTTCATACCACCAGCAGCACTAACAAAAAAGCCTGATCTTTTTGGATTAAGTACAACTCATCTTTAAGGCTTAAACACTTAACTAATTAGAATTGATGATTTTTATTATATGAATGATTCCTTTTGAAATGGAGACAGTGAGATAGCTGCACAGCCCATGCACTTTAGTTCTCCTGGATAGTTAACAATACAAAACAAGCCAATAACAAACAAGCAGAAGACAGATCTAAGCTTTTTTTTTTTTTAACTACGTTTTGTGTCATTAACTCCAAAGTAACCTTCACATTGTTTACAAGTTTAAAAAAAAGGCTGGTTTTTTTTTCATACATTCCAAAATGCATTTGGGGAACTCTAGCTATCTGATGTTTAAGAAAGCATAATAGAATTTTACATTCTTTTACACATATAGCACTGCACCACAAACAATGACAGTGATGTCCATTAGCTTCAATTATTTATTTTCATCAGCTTCCTTTTCCTCCTCTAAGTTAAAATAAAGGAGTTTGTCATAGCCCATGAGATGGTTATAATCCTGAGGATCTGGGAAAAGCGTTGGATTAACAAGCATTGATTTTGTTTTAGCATAAAATGTTGTAAACATCTTGGTGATGTCTGGAATCTTTACATCTTTCTGATGGAAAACAGTCGCTCTCTCTGCCAAGATTGCATTGTATGTAATGGCTGTGTACGTGTCCATTTCTTTTTTATAATAGAGTCGAATCACATAGCCTTTTGTAAGGACATGCAAAGTAACCGGTGTTACAAATGTAAAAAAACCAATCAACCCATAAAAGGCAACTTGTATTAGCAGACTTTCAAATCCAATACCAGTTTTGAGCATGACGTAGGGCATCATGAACAGGTTGAATATGCTGGTGGAGTAAGAGAAAAACCTCACACCTACATAAAACAAAACAAAAAGAAAACAAAGGTTAATATTTATGAGTAAAATTTTCTCTATAATTACATATGTTCTGCTGCAAATATAGTGATGGCATTACTCGAACTGCTGAAGTTACTGAAAATCCACTTCCCCTTTTTAAGCTCACAAAGAAACCTGAAAAGCTCAACCCTGTCTTCTTGCTACTGTTTGGGTTTGTTTATGTTCATGTTAGGTTTATCAAAGCTGCTAGCTGTCTCTATTTCTATGACGAAGTCAGGTACTAGCTATCGTGCACACCTAGTTTAGTTTCTACTTCACAGATAGGAAACTGATTTCAAAAGAAACTTGACTCCAGTCATGGATACACATAATGGTAATTATCAGAGATACGACTGGGAATTTCTCTGCATCAACAACTACTGTTGATGTTCAGTGTGCATTACAAAGAAGCTTGCTTGGTCCTCAATCATGCATAACTTAAAGAACCTAGGTTATTCAATATTAACAAGCACTCCACAGCCATCTTGCACGCAGCTGGAAAAACAGTAGCCAGTGTTGTCAGTCACCTACAGTCCTTAAGCCACCATGAGAACCGGTAGTCTAAGATGCTGTGATAATGAAGTATGTTACGGCATAATTCCTCCTTTAAGACACATTTCAAAAATGCATATCAGAACACATCCAGTGGATCCCTTTTCACTAGGTCTTCGTAACATTAGCCGGTCAAAGAAAGATCAACAAAGTCTCATCACAGGTAGTTTCATCATAGTATCAGTCTACTTCCGAAACATTTCAGTAACATTTGAAAGCATACTGAGTGTAAACAGCAGTTACAGCTAGTCTTTGCTGCTGGGTTGGGTAATGCATTCCAAAGGCTGCAAGTGACACAGAAGGCGGCTCAGGGGTTACAGAGATGCAGAGTACCTACAGAACTCCCTGCATGCCTAAGTGTGTAAGCAGAAACCAAGCACCACCACCACAGTTTTTTTGCTGTACAGAGGACCCAGGTTTTAGCAGAGTTAGAAAGGAGAACATTCAGTTTTATAATGTTGTACTTTAAAGTTATTAAACACTGTCAAATAAAAAAACAAAACAAACAAAAAAAAAAACAAAACAAACAAACAAAAAACCAAACAAACAAACAAAAAAGCCACCACCAAACCACAAAACCAAATCACTTCAAGTCACATACCTAACACTGCCTTTGCCAAATTTCCCTTATAAACTAATCTTCCATGTTCCGGGTGTTCATGGGGGGAGGATGTGCAGAGACTGCGAACAGCCACTCCTTGAAAAGATGTAACCTGAAGGTGAAAGCAGCACATGGCCGAGCAACATCAGTACCAATCCGCACATTATATACACACACACGAATTACCATTAGATATTCGCATCCCGCAGACGAGCAGTAAGCTTGCGATCATGTTACGCGCGGCTTTGCGAGGGGACGTTCGGAGCCTCCGCGCTTGCCAGGTCCCCGTTCGATCCCGGGCGTGCTCGGAGGGGAAACCTCCTCGATTCGCATTTCTCGCAAGGAAAAAACCCCGAAGACTGCCGCCCTTCCCCCGGCCAGACCCTCCCGGGGCCGCCTCACACACACACCACCTCCCCCCCCCCCCCCCCCCCCCAACCTTCTGGGCCCCCTCGGCGGCGGGCGGGGCGGCCCGGCGGCGGCAGGCGGCCGGGAGCCCGCGGTGAGCGGCGGCGCCCCGCAGCCAGACGGTGGCGGCTGCCGGGGCGGCGGGGGGGCGGCGGCGGCAGGCGGCAGCCCTCAGCAGCAGCAGCAGCATGGCGGGCTGCGTCCCGCCGGGGAGGGGAGGGGACAGCGCGGGGCGGTGCACCGGACCGCAGCCCCCGCCGCCCCGCGCTGTGGTTCCGCCGGCGGGAAGGGTCCGGCCGGCTCCCCCGCGCCCCCGCCAGGATGCGGCCGGCGGCGCAGCGCCCCCCCTCCACCACCCCCCAGAGAGTGGTGCGGGTTGCTGGGACGGACCCCCAAGGGTGCCGCTGGCATGGCATTCCTAGGGACAGCAGGGCGGGGGCGAAACCGAAGGCGTACACCCCACGCATTTAGGACGCGCGCCCAAGCGATTTTCGAGCTTTGCCAGCCGGGGGAGGCGGGCCCCGGGGCAACGTGGCTCCTGCCCGCCCCGCCTCACCCGCGGCTCAACACCTGCCCGGCGCCGCTCCTAACATGGCGGGCCGCCCCCTTCTCCCCAGAACTACGCGCCCCAGCATGCACCGCTCCCCGCCGCACAGCATGCCGGGATCCGAGCGCCGCACGTTTTCCCAGGGCAGGGCGCACGCCCCGGGCCGGAAGTGACCCGTGACCTTGCCGGAAGTTCTCAGGCGGCAGCTGGCCCGTAGGCGGCGGGGCCCTGCGAGCGGGGCGGAGGGACCGGCGCTGGCGGGTGAGCGGCGGCGGGTGGGCTCTGCTGGGGAGGCCCTGTCGGCACTTGGGGTGGGCGAAGAGGGGAGGAGGCCCCCGGGGCCTGTCCCTCGGAGGGGAACGGGCCTCGCCCTCCGCGCCGCCCTCGCCCCGCTCCCAGAGGCGGCGGGGGGGGGGGGGGTGTCGCGGAGCGGAGGGGCTTGGGGCGGCTGGGGGGGGGGGGGGGGGGGGGCGAGCCGGGGTTCCTCCGCCGGGACGGTGTCGAAGGGCTCGTTTCGCTTTTGCGTGTGGGAGCGAAGTGGTCTCCTTCAACTCCGGACGCCGCCGGGAGAGGGGCTTTCCGGTGCGGTGTTGAAATTAAATATTCCTCTTAAACTTCTTCCGCCACAAACGATGTCCGCCTACGCCAGGCCCTAGCGAGAGGGGAAAAAACTAAGGCCGAAAGCGTTTAGGATGCACCCCCAGGGGTTGTTATACCAAGGTGAGAAGTGCTGGTTAAAAGTGCTTTGGGTGTAGTGGTGGACGAATATAAGCAAAGCAAGGTTGACAGCAAAGGGTGATACACTTACATGCGGTAAGAAAAATGAGCTTTTGAGTGCCGTGTGTTCCTCAAAGGGAGATTTCACCCTAATATAACAGAACCTGAGCGTTGGCAAGTTATTGATGGCTTCAGCTGTATGTGTGAAAAGGTGATGGTGATGCTAGCAGTTAATTTTGACAGCCAGTTTAATCTTACGCCTTGTAATACTGTGCATAGGAACTTTATTTGTGAGTTAAGCCTCGCACCATAGGGAGACTTACGTAGTCATAAGCCATTTGTTTACTTGGGTTTGCTGAAGATCACTTGCAAAAGTTCAATTTGGAAGCCAGCCAGAAAAACATAGATAAATAGACAGGCTAGAGACCTTTAGGATAAGAACCACTTTGTGCACTTGGTTCTGAATAATCCCTTACGTGCTCCATTTTCCTCTTTTTGCCATACTAAGGCCAAAAAAAAAATATTGTTGGGAGATAAATAATGTTTGCCCTTCTAAGTAACTTTTCAGTTAACAATAAGTGTTAATTAATTTTCCTGTGATACATTGGCTACCATCTTTGTGCATGTAGTGCACACCTTATACCTTTGAGATCAGCCTTTTCATGTGATTGTTAGGTAAGTAAAATTTTTGCTAACATTTTCCATTAACATTTGGAGCTTTAAGATAATCTTCGGAGAAACTTTCAGCACTTCAGCAGTTAATTTTTTCTTCTTGTATCAGAGAAGAGTAATTTGAGATTTTTTATATTGGAATGGGTGGTGAAGAGATTTGGGTAATTTCATGTAGTCTTAATGTGAAGACTTAATATAGTGAGGAGATCCAGTTGATTCTCTGAGGTACCTTCTTCCTCAACCTCATATTTCTTTTTCTGATGCATTTGTGTTCGTCCTTCTGTCCCTTATGTTTTGTGTGGGGATAAATTAATATCTTTTGAAATTATACTTAGATTCCAAAGTTTTACCAAGTTTTTGCAATTTTCGGTGTATATTACAAGAAACCCTTAAGTTTTGTCATAAAAGTATGGGTTTTGTCAGATTAAAATAAAGGAATTTTGATGTATATTGACAAGTTATCTTGTCACCTAGGAAGGCTCAGGATTTAATTATCTTCATTATGGGGTAGTTTGCATAACAGTAGTTTTTGATGAATGCTTATAACGAGAGGGTAGAAATCCACGCCTTTTAAAATTTTGCAATATGCTAGTAGCTCTCTTTCTGCCTAATGGCAAGAGGTATATAATACAGGTCTTTTACTGTATGTTAGGAAGAAAACAGTAACACCCCTCCTGCCTTTTTTTTTTTCCCCCTTAAAACTTTCTTGAGAACTACTGAAAATGAGATTTTCCTTAGATAAAGAACATCTTACATGAGACTTTTGATACTCCATACACAGAATCCTACCTCATCTCCTGTTTATCTTAACTAGCAATTCACCTGTCGTATATCTTCCTGTCACTCTTCAGTGTGCCCCTAAGTGTTTGAATTTTAGTGCCTGTGAGTATGAAATAGTGAATCAGCTGATTTGGAAATCATGCCATACCAGTTTTCCCTCGTATGTTTTATAAATATGCTTCAATCTTTATTTACATTAATTAATTTTTGATGCATACTGAACAATGAATACTAAACTGAACAGTGATATTTTAAAATAAGTTAGTTTATAGGATCAATAATAGGACTAGAGTTCAGGATTGAACAGCAGGAGGCTACTGTGTTAACACATAACAGCCTTTGTTTACTGATGAACTTTTACTGATATACAAATGACAGCCAGAAAATGCCACATTTTGTTTCTAAACTAACCTAGGAATTGTAAAGGCACTTATGTCAATTGCCCCATGGTTTCCAAAAATTGGTAGTGTGGAATACAGAAATGTCACCAGCTGAAGCATACAAAAATCAGGTGTGCATTGTGCAGCTAATGAGTTGGAAGACATTTGAGTTTCCTTAGACCATAATCTCAGTTTTTAAAGAGTTTTCTGGGGGATCAAAGAATCGGAGTACTTGAAATGTTTGCACAGATTTAGTTTTCTTGTGCTAGTCAGGATAAAGCAGTAGGGTTCTGGAATCTGTACAGTGGTTGTATGTGTTCAGTCAAATTATCGTATGTCCTTCAACTCTATTCTGGTCTCATCAACATACAAGATCTACGAGGAAATGATACTCTGGAAATTCTGGGAAGCTTGAGAGATGAGCATGGAGCATTGTGAGTGAGGTGGGAGGGTCATGGACATGTTTGTTTTTTTTTTTTTTTTTTTTCATTTGATGCTCAAGAGAAGTAGGAAGGAGATCAAGCTAAACTCACTATATCACAGTATTTCTTCTTAGAGTCGGAAGGAGGAGAATAAGATGTTTAATATGCTAACAAGAACACTTGCCTTGCGCAGGTTAATTACCACATTTTGTGATAGTTTGCCATGTTCTATCTCATATGTGTAAATATCCTAGTAACTTGTGAAAACTTCCAGTTCTCTAACACCTGATGAGAATTTTATGTTTTCTGCAGCAAGAGCTTCCCTTTTAGACTGTTTGGAAAGTTTCTGTGCCAAATACGCTGGGTTTAGTTGTATTGTATTCTCGCTCATTGATTAAAAAGTGGCATATACTTTTTGTGTAATCTTTCTCTTAACGAATGCAGGTTTTGCTCTTTTGTTTTGTTTTGTGTTTTTTTTTAAAGGAGGCAAGACAGGAGAACAATCATACATAATGTATGTGCTTTTTTGAGATTAAAGGAAGGGAGCTGAGCTACCTAATTGGTAATGCCACATAAGCTTCTTGAAGAGGAAATGGAATCATGAGTATACTTCAAGAGAAATTAGTGGTTCTTTGCAGGAGTCTGAAATAGTCAAGTCAGAAATATATAATAAAACAGGCAAATGCTTGAGTGCTCAGAAAACTTGGATTATTCTCTTCCCTGCTGCTGCATTGTCGTAGTCTTGGTTAAGTCAGACAGGGGCAGCTATAAAATGTGGAAAGTGAATTAAAAATTAGGTAGTCACCAGGCATCTTCAGAAATCTCAAGTCTCTTCCTTCAGGTTGTTTTGGCAAATGTTGTAATTTATATTGTTTTCATTGTACAGAAGGAAAATGTAGTGATGTGTTTTGCAGCAAATTGTGTATTAGAAAGTACACTGTAAGAAAAGAATTTCTGGTAAGAGAACATGCCATGTCACTTGATTTTCTTGTTTCTAACTTATTATTGAATACTTAAGGTCATGCAGTTTTCAATTAAAAAAAAATGTTTTTGTGCAGAAAATTTTCTTCCACGCTCCTTTACTATACGCACAAGTGGTAACTTCTGTGTGGCAGGGATTTCCACATGCTCCATCTGTCTCATTTCTTTCCTATGTCCATTTTTTGTGGGGGATGTTAAATAACAATTCAAGGTTTCTGTCAAAAATAAATAAATCAAATATTGCATGTTTTCTGTGCCAGTTTTTCAGTGTATTTCTTCTGCTGTTCCCACTTATTTTTCTGTAAATTTAGGAACCAATAAGGTAGTTGACTGTGGCTTGTGCAAAATCATGTTAATACTGTGTCAAGTAACTTGAGTGTAGTTGTTGAAGAAGATACTTTCCACAAAATAGTCATTTTGAACTGCAGTATGCTCTAATCTTCATAAAGTGTCATGACACACTGAACGTTTCTTGATACAGA